GAGTTCAAACAGTCAAAAAGATGGAAAATTTTCCTGTGGCTTTATTTTATTTCCTTCATTCAGTTTCCAAGCCCACAGGCTGAGCTTCCTTGCAGGTAACATTTTCCAGGTGCATTAGGGCCATTAATCAATCCTTAGTATTGTGAGGTTCCTTAATGGCCCACCTGATTTTGATAGTCCTTCTGGATGGTGCAGGGGGTTGTAGCAATTCCCTTGCCTGAGTTCACAAGGTCAGAGCAAACATTTTCAAAGTTATAAATTAACATATCTTACCGCATGGAATTCTGGCAAGTGAGATTAATGCATGCAGCAACTTACAAGCATTTCATAGAGTCTAAACACTAAATATATTCTTATAGGACTAATACCTATTTTGAGCAAAACTAACATACAGGTGGAACTGGTCTGTTCTCCAGCTATAAGTCTGTCAGTTCTTAACTAATGCTTGCAGCCTGGGCAAGAGCTGGCAACTGGCCTGCCAGCAGCACACAGACAACTTTGCTATCTGGATAGGTGTGAATAGATTTAAGTCTGTTTTTAACTGTAGTTGCTATGAGAGGCTTTCATCTGTTACCCAATAACAATCCTGCATCTGATATTTTCATGTTTTGCAGTCCCAAAAATCACAGTTTTAGCGAAAGGATGTAGAGCTCTTATAAAAGAGCTCATATAAAGAGTTCTTATTTTCTCCTGGTTCTTGAATTCACTGGTAAAAACATGCTTTTTCATCAATCACATTTCTTGAGGTATAAAGTGTGCATCAAACAGTCAGAACCATTTCATAGTCCTCTTTGTGACTGTCTTTAGTAAAGGCAAAAGATTTAAAGATATGTGTTGCCTGCTTCCCCACAGCATAAAATAAAGACGATACCTAAATATCTCCAGTTGCCTAGTGCAGTTTTGTAGCAATGCAAAATTTTGTAAAATACTGCTTCCAGTCTGTCCATTCTGAAGGTGTATCAAAGTTGAAGTTCCCTGAAGCACTGAAGGGCAGCATGTTTTAAAACTTGCAACCTTTGTTGCTTTGTTCCTTCTGTTTCAGCCTTCTCTGGCATCAGTTAGGCTACCTTGACTTCTGACACCGTATAATGTACTCCTTGTACATGTAGACTGCAGGACTGCTACTAGTAGGCTAGGCTTCTGTACCAGATATGGACTGGCTACAGAGCTTCCTTCACAGACATACACCAGATGTGTTCACTATAGGATCCTTCAATGTGCAGCCACTGCTGAGAGGTATAGCTATTGTACACTCAAGTATGGTATGATACACATCGCCACCTAGTGGCTGAACTGTATGATACAGTTTAACATTCTATTACATTTGCTTACATGGTTTGAGGGTTTTAAAGAATCCCCTGTCAATTTAGAGGAAACAAAAAATCAAAATCCCAAATAGCCTGTCAACAGCTGAGAAGAGGACGCTGCTGGGTGTCGCACAGAGCACAGAAAAGTTCTCTTAACAACAGTGTGTGTGTGTGTGTGTGTGTGTGTGTGTGTGTGTGTGTGTGTGTGAAAGAGAGACAGAGAGAGAGAATATGAATGTGCGTGAGCACAAATGCCCTCCCCCTATAGAGCCCTCAAAAAGATTAGTCAAATTGCCAAGATTAATGAAAACATTTAGACCCCAAATCCTTCAAGACAAGGAAGGTGGACCCCTTAGGCTAGATTAGACCCTAAATGTTTTGGTCCATCTAACCTGACTATTCATTTGTGATTGTTCTCGCCCTATGTAGATGTGTGATCCATAAAGTTCAGATTTTTATTTAATTAGTTTTTCCTCAAGAAAACCTTTATTATTTAAAAACAATACTATTTTTTTAACAATTATATAACTTCTTAATAGCTTTCAAGGTATATCAAATGTCACCCAAAAGTAATAGATTTAACAACTTAATATTTGTGTAGACAAGCCTTAGACATTAAGGAGAGAGTACTGCTGCAATAGTGTATTTAATAATAAAAATGAACATTTAAAATTATATGTAAATAAAGTACCCAATCTTGAAGTTTAATAACTGTTATGATAAGGTTAGTATTTTTAAATGTAGAAAAATAAAAATGTTTATGATAAGATATATTAACAAATTAATTCAAATGTATCACATTTGCCAAATTATTTCCACGTTTTAAACTGTTTGTACCCTTTTGAAATAAAGGGGGGATGAGGAAAGGTGAAAGGAAGCCAATTCTGATAGGGTCAATCTTGTGCATGAGAAGAAAAGAAAGCATCTTTTGATGAGGAACCAATACATGATACATACTCAGTGTCAGATTTTGCTGCCAGTAACAAAATCTGACAAGGAGGCCACATATAGCACATCAACTACATCTCCATGGCAGGAGGTGCAGCTGTCATTTTGAATCAAGGCCCAAACCTGCTAGCTGCTCCAGTGCAAGGCAGAGGCTCCCATTGCAACAGTTACAGCACATTTACCCCTGAGAACAAGTAACAATTCAGACAGAAGTTAGGCTGGCATAATGCTTTGCAGATAAATTTATGCATTTTGGGGTCTGCAACCAGAGTTAGCCCAGAACAGAGGAGTAACAGCTTCCCCCTAAAGACCTGTGTGCTAGCATTTCAACAGAAGATCTAAGTCCATAAGGTGGAAAGAATTCAGAAAGAGAAATAAAAACTACTGAGACCTAATTGTCACTCCCCCATTGAAGAACAGACAGTGGGGTTGGGGAATAAGGAAATAAGGTCCCATTTGACTGGCTATCCCAGCCTCTGGACTGTACTCAGAAAGTTGGGGATGAATTACTCAATCTACATTTCATAATGACTAGATTATTACATAGTTGTGCTGGTGTTAGGAATAAATACCTATTTTATTGGTAAACGTAATGTATTCTGACATACCCCTTTGTCCACGTACAATAGGAACTGTAGCATAACATAATCCTATTAAGAAAGTGATTAGAGAATACTATCGGGGAAAAGCAGAGCCTGGAAATATTTGAAAACCTTGACTCCTCTTTCTGCATCACAGACACATTTATACATAATCAAAAGCATTTTCTAGTAGACCATAAAAATGTGTTTATATCAAAGCTGAGAACAAAAGGAAGTGGAGGATGCTAAGCTAGGAGGCTACCATTGAAACAGTTTATCTTAAATGTAAGCAAAAAGTTACGATATTTCTACCATGAACCATGTTACTCAGGAACAAGATGAACTGTTTTTTTTTCTTTCATGTTTTCCCTTGTAGCTAAAACTTCATTGCTAACTCTGATTTATATCTGAATTTGTCCTTGAGTATTTCACATGTAGTGATCACTAGACCAAATTATGTTTAAAAAACTACTAATCTAGGCTTTATGATATTGTCCTTCTGGTGTGAGAACCAGAAAGCTTGCTTAACACTAGGAAATATTGGATTCAACTTTCCACCAGTGGTTGCTACAGTGGAAGCTGTAGTGTAGAAAGGGCAAAAGTTCTCTTGCTATCACTGGTACAGCTGCATTTTCTTGCTGTTGCCAGTGGAGATTTAGACTTGGTCTACATACAGAGGTTAACTAAAGATGTGATTTTATACTCAGTTAAACCAATGCTATTGTGTGTTTGGATATTCATCGCCATTTAAACCTGGTTTGTATCATTTACCTTGTGTTGGTAAGCGTACTGAGGTGCAAGCCAAACCAATAACTTGTTTTAAGTCTAGATTAGAGTTGTGATCCTGTTGTAACTTCAGCTATTTGGCAATCGATTAACACCTTTCTAAATGCTAATTTAGAAACTCCACAATAAATTTATTCCAGGACCCAAACATTTTTGTTAGTTACTTTAGGCTGGGATGGCAGTCGTCAATAGAGCTACTCCAATTACACCAAATGAAGATCTGGCCCTGTATCTCTAATGCTGGGCCAGCTAGCCTTACTCACTTCTCCATCCTATCCTTTGTTCACCTTCCACCAATTCTTCCACTGTGCAGCAGCCAAAATGACCAATGTCATATTCTACATAACATTTAGAAATTTAAAAATCTGTTTTGTGCTGTTACTTTAAACACTGAAAACGACAGAAAGATGAGCACAATGGGCTAGTGGAGAACAGAGGACACCACAAATGCCACATTGCTTCACTCTATTCCACAACAGTTTTCCCATAGAGAACACACTAATTTAGAGAAAAAACACTGTCAATGTGAAAGTCACAACATTTTCAAACAAAAATGTTGTACTTATTATAGTTAAAAACATCTAAGATTATTATGACTGTCTGAAACAAACTGGCAAAACAATGCAAGGTTTACTTTGTACATAACATGCTACGAAATGTCAGTTTCACTATTTACCCCAAACAAACAGTATGCAAGGGAGAAACTGATTATAATGGTTAGTCAAATAGGGGAGCAAAAAAAAAAAAAAAAAAAAATCCTGAAAGTGTTTTTAAAGGAATTATTTCAAAAATATTCAGAACATGGTTTAAAGTTGTTCTTTTTTAATTTTCAACTTGGAGGTTTTGAAACTAACTAGTGTCCCTTTAGCAACACTATATATAAAGTCAAGTCTATATCAATGAATGACAGGTGCAAGCTGGACAAAACAGGGGTAAGTGAGGTTCTAGTAAACTCAATAAGATGTTACAATAAAATTAAGTAAAGAATAAGTTTTGCCTTTTGTTGACAGAACAAGATTAAACCCCTAAATCACTCACGGACTTCAACTGCTGATTGAAACGTTCTGACCAGAAGTGGGCTCCTATTGGGGACCATATGGAGTGAAGGGAGGAAAGAAACAGGCTACCAAAAACAACTCAGATGTGTTTCGTATGGTGCCTACCAATCTTACCAAATAGGTCACTTGTATAGCATTTCCTGAAAGGAATGTCCACATGGGTAAGGGTGACCAGATAGCAAGTGTGAAAATCGGGACAGAGGGTGGGGGTAATAGGAGCCTATATAAGAAAAAGCCCCAAATATCGGGACATCTGGTCACCCTAGTAATGACATGAAACCCCAAGCTGATATTATAACTGAAAATGTCAAGGCTTTATTTTGCAACAGATATCTTACAAAGAAAATATTTACTTTTACTGATATTTATGGATGTGCAATGCATCAGAGTTTTTTTATGGTGTCTCCTTCTCATTTAGTCATTTGTTCCTGGTCTTCAACTCAGAGGTAAAGATGCTAGCTTGAAATGCATGTATATTTAACACAGAGACAGATACTATAATCATCACGTTCAAGACCTTAAAATGGCTTCCAAATTTGTGGGTGCAGTTTTGCACTCACTATTAATTACTCACATAAAGTGGAGGTCAGGTTGAGGTGACTTTAAAAATTTGGTTCATAGTATTAACTAACTCCATTAATCCTCACTTCTGGATGCTGCAGACTTGACATCACCTAGGAGCATCATCTAAGGTAATGTCCTGGGCACTTCCTCTAGGAGAGTTCTCTGCTTCAGAGGCAGGGCTATCAATGAGAGGGATAGAGTCATCCATTTCCATGCTATTTTGCTTCTTCAGTTCGTAATTTAGGTCAGAGTTCCCTTTGTCATTGACCTCTCCCTCCAACTCATCTGCCAATTTGTCCTGGGCCTGAGCTGCCTCCTCAGAATCTTCCTTTTGGTGCAGAAAACTACAAATCGTATTAGGTCTGCTGTATGAGAAATCTTTGTCTTTAATCTGTAACCACTCCACACCACCTGGTCAGAAAAAAGATAAACTAGTGAAATGGGGAGGAGAGATTTTAACAGCAAGACGATATATTTTCTTAGTTTCACGAGTTTGTTTTAGCCTTAAAAAATAACTAGAAATATGCAACAAAGGTAATGTTATGTTTGAGGAAAACCATCATTATGTCTGAGGTGGTGTTTGCCGTAAGCTTCTGCTACAAAAAGACTTGAGGAAAGGGAACTGCCTGTGACCCATTTTCCAAACTGGAGACAGTAAAATCCCTCCCAAATGTCCTTACTTCCTTCTGCTGCATAAGACAGACCTGTTTTCACTATGATCCTCATGTGCTGAAGTGAGGAGAAAAATTCTTAGTTAAGACAAATAGCAGCTTAATTTCACTGTCCTGAAGCAATACAGCATAAAACTCTACGGGGTAGAAGGTTTGTTTGCTTGCTTATGTCTCCAATATAACATTTTTTCTAAGAACTGAGAGAGGGTCCTCAGAATCCCCATCATATAGATGATTTCTAATCAGCCATTTTCATTTGCTTTGCACTTGAGAGCTACATAGCAGAACTATTGTTCTTCTAGCTGAGCAGTGCCCCCAACAAACCCTTAGCTCCACTGCTTCTTCACATCAGCCAGTGTTTCCTATTAGATGACTCAACACCTGTCCACCTCCAGCACACCAACTACTACTGCTGACTCCTAAGTATTTTCAACCTACGAAGGTACCAAGAATCGAGATGTGGTCTCCCATGTGCTGTGTAAAATGTAACTATTGCACCACCAGCTAAGCCCATTACATTTTTAAAATTTGGTAATATATGAATTTTTATGGTACCTATTGCTGTCACAAATGGGGCCACTCAATTACAGTACACTCCAAGAGATTACAACCAATAATACATCAAAGCAATGAGGGCTGCTTAATGGGGATGGTATTTCCCCCTTAATGGGGATGCCTTCTGTTGATTTACTGGCATTTGAGTTTTGTGTGTGTGTCTCATGCTGGTTCTGTTTGTTCATCTAACAGCTTTCCATTCTTCCACAGCAGTGATACAAAAAATAAATGGTACAAAGTTGTAAAGGTCAACATTTCCTTGCCTAATCCAAAAGAAGAATGACTGGGATGGGAATAACATCTTTCAAGAATGTAGATCTTTATTTTTGGGCTGAGTCCCACCATACATTCAGGAGTTGAGGCCACTAGTTTTTGTGGTTGTTAAAGGTTCCCTGAAAGTTAGGGCTGTGTCTTGGTTAACTATGTCTAAGTGTGTCTGGGATAACTAAAAACTATTATTTAATAGGATAATCCTTTTCCAATTCCTATTTATCTTAGAATCAGTGCATTTATATGATGACAGAAAATCCCACTTGCATTATAAATACTGGGAGGGGGAAATCCTTTTCATCCAAAGGTTGGTTTTCCAATTATTTATAATACCAGCGAAATAGTGGATCACACAGACATTAGTTTACCATTCTTCAGTATTTATTTTGTACTGTGCCAACACTGTTGCATCTAGGTGCCAAACAGCACCTATGCAAGTTCCAAAACTGTTTCCATACGATGCTGAGAATATATTTTACTGATGCAGAATGAAGACTATCATGTTAATTTAAGTTTAGAATATCAAATAACTTGATGGAACATGTTTCAGAGTAGCAGCCATGTTAGTCTGTATCCGCAAAAAGAACAGGAGTACTTGTGGCACCTTAGAGACTAACAAATTTATTAGAGCATAAGCTTTCGTGGACTACAGCCCACTTCTTCGGATGCATA